AAAAAAAAAAAAAAACCAGAAAGGGGCACCTGGGTGGCTCAGATGGTTAAGTGTCTGCCCTCAGCTAGGGTCATGATCTCGGGGTCCTGGGATCAAGCCCCACATTGGGCTCCTTGCTCAGCGGGGAGCGTGCTTCTCCCTCTCCCTCTGCCTCTCCCCCTGCTCATGATCTCTGTCTCTCTCTCTCTCTGTATCTCTGTGTCTCAAATGAATAAATAAATAATCTTTTTAAAAAAAAAAACAGAAAAAAAAAGTAAAAGAATAAAATGTTCGGTTTAGGGGCACCTGGGTGGCTCAGTCGATTAAGGGTTGGACTCTCGATTTCAGCTCAGGTTGTGATCCTGGGGTCCTGGGATCAAGCCTCGTGTGGGGTCCTATACTCAGCACAAAATCTGCTTGAGGATTCTCTCTCTCTCTCTCCCTCTGCCCCTACCCCTGCTCCCCCCACAAATAAATAATCCTTTAAAAAAATAAAAACTTAAAATGTTCAGTTTAAAACAAAATGTTCACACAGAACCAATAAGGAAAAACCTTATAACACATAGATTTTGAATATTTTTTAAGATTTTATTTATTTTTTTATTTGAGAGAGAGAGCATGAGCACAGGGAGGAGCAGAGGGGGAAGAATCTCAAGCAGACTCTGCACTCAGTGCAGCGCCTGACATGGGACCCAATCCCACGACCCCAAGATCATGACCTAAGCTGAAACCAAGAGTCGGACATTCAACCGACTGAGCCACCCAGGCGCCCCATATACCTAGAATTTTAAAAATTAAACATTTAAAAAACAAGGTATTATATAATAAGCTTGTTTTTCAAAAGTCAAAAAATATCAACCAATAATTACGTCACAAGGCTTGTAACATAAAACGCTGTTCCCTTACCGCCCTTTCACACTTTGATTTATATTCTCTTGTTGAGGAGCAGCTACCGTCCACCCTTAGCTTTTGCTGTTCTTTGCCTACATATTTCTAAAGAACATGCCTGCTTGATTTTGCAGTTTTTACGCTTCATGCAGTGTCTTCTAACTGGAGAGAAAGAGCATTCTGCTCTCTTGCACTGCATCCCTACCCTCCTCGTCCCGCATCCACACACACTTCTCACGGCTCCTCCAGTGCAATAATAATAAGGTTCGTCTTACGCTCAGTACTTACGTACTGCAACTATGTTAAATGTTCTTCACAAATGAACCATGTCATATATTTTATTATATTTCCTTTCCAATGTTACCTTTGCTTCCTTGCCATCAATAATGGTCTTTTTTTTCAATTGGCTTAGTTTCCTGTGATCTATTTCTCAGGCATGTTTTACTCCTCTACTAGAAGCATAAATACTATTTCAGTATGTCCAGACCCATCCAGTCAACAGTCAGTTGCATCCTCCAGTCACCCCTGGAGCCCCCTCTCCTGCTCCAATCTAACTGGATGTGCAGCAGCATCTTCCATCACTCTGCTCTTCTGCCACATACACTATTTTTGGATCCTGGGTCTCCCTCTTTATTGCTTTACAACCTTATCTTGATGGAATATATTCTCCTGTAACCTCCTGTGACCTGAGAAAAGTTCCACAGAAGGTTAAAAAAAAAAAGTGCAATTTTGCATGTCTGAAAATGTTCCAGATTATGGAACGTAAGATGGCCGGGCACAGAATTCCTCACAAGTTGTAAAGCATCACTCCACAGTTTTCCAGCTCCCACCGTTGCCTTAAAGAAGTCCAATGCCATTCTGGTTCCCATCCTTTGTATGTGCCCTGTCTTATCCCTCTGGAAGTTTTCAAGGTTTTCTTTACTCACAGCATGCTAAAAGTCCTAAGAACGGGCCTCGATGTGGGCTTATTTTCATCCATGGTTCTGGGCCCCCAAGCAGCCGTTCAATCTGGAAGCTTATATCTCTCTCTTAGAAAAACTTTCTTCAATGTGGTTTATTTTGAAAAACTATTTCCTCCCCTCTGTTTTCTCTATTTGCTTTCTAGAACCCACTATTATGTAGACGATGAGTGCCCTCAACTAATCCCAAGTGTTCTTGTTGTCTCTCCTATTTTTATTGCTCTTTTCCATCTTTCTGAGAAGCTTCTCAACCTTATCTTGCTGTCGCCCTCCCCCCTCCTGCTGCTGCAGATTCCTGGGCCCTGGGCACAGCCTGATGACCAGAGCATCACAGAGCCTTGGTGCCACCACCATAAGCCATGGAATTACCTTTACAGGTGAATGTGCTGGTATCCTTCGTGCTCCCCTTGGCATTAACTGCCTTCCTGAACGGGGTCACTGTGAGCCACCTGGTGGCCCTCTGCTCCCAGGTGCCATCCACTTCTGCCCCGGGCAGCCCCACCCCCAGCCACGTGGAGCTAACGAGTGAGGAGAGGAGGACACCCCCCCTGGGGGGCCAGGCCAGCCTGGTGAGACACAAGGACTCCTGCCGGCTCCGCCGTCTCCAGCACAGCGTCCAGGTTCTCAGTTAAGTACTCAGTAACACTGCCCTGAGTGGAAGAGTTGGGGCTCCAAGGATGCCTCCCCTAGCCCCTGGCCAAGTGACCCTGAGCACGTTACTACCTCTCTCCAGGCCTCATTTTTTTCTCTATGCCCCAGGGGAATCGTATGACCACAGGGTTTGGTGGTATGATTAAAGGCTAGAATGGGAATTCTGTACATGAGACCCCCATCTGCTCCAGGGAGTAATGCATAAAGACAAGCAGATACCCGGTTACTTTTCAGGGAGTCCAGCCTATGGATGGATACAAGGAGCAGCTATAGTTAGGGAACTGCTGCCCAGGACTGGAAGACTCAGACCCGCTGGGTCCCCAGCCCAGTTCCCCACCAACTCCCTGCTTTCCCTGATACAACATTGATTGTTGGTTGGTTTTTCTAAGTACCTAGGTCAACTTGGCCTTGTAGGGGAAACATTAAGAGGCACAGGAAAACAGGTCTCTCCAAACACCTACAGTAATGCAGGCACTCACTAAGGTCTAGGAAGATTGAATAAGAGATCAGGGTCTGCTCTCATCAATGCCCCCAGTGTCGTCCATAGGACGGCAATGCAAGAGCTAAATGTCATGTGATGTGACAAGAACAGAGGCAGCCCATGACGTGCGTGGACTTTCCTCTATAGAAAACGGGCAGCATAGAGAGTCAATGCCCAAGAATGCAGGGAGATTTGCTTTGGAGGTAGGTTTTACTCATCGGTCTCTGGAGTGTAGGCTATGCTTCTCCGCTTCTGTGTGCGTGAGAACAGTGTGGAGAGTTATAAAACATAGGCTACAGGGCCCCAATCCAGAGATTCTGATTCAGAAGCTCTGGGTGGGGCCGAGACTCTGCATTTCTACCAAGTTCCCAGTTGATGTTGATGCCCTGGTCCAGAGGCCACACAGGATTACAGAATGGATTTGCCAGGCAGGGCAGGTGTAGGGGAGGGAATGGGAGGGGTATAAGGGTAGGGACAAAGGGGCCAATTCGGAAAGTGCTGTCACAGTCCAGTGGACGGGAGATATGAGCCCCTAGGGTGGGGAAGTAGAGGTAAGGAGGGAGGAATCAAGGGATGCTAAGGAAGAGCTTTTTAATAGATTGGATCTGGGAGTGATGGAAAAATCAACAGACTATCTGGCTTATGACTTGAGAGCCAGATGGATTGTGGACCATCAGTCAATCAGAAAAAGGAACAGAAGAGGCTTCATGAGGCAGAAGGTCAGCCGTCTCTGCCATTAGACACCAATCGGGTGGGAACATCTAGCCCTGGTTTTTAGAGTATATTCTGGTGGTCAGAAGGAGGTTAGAGAGGTTTTAGAAGTTTCTAGAAGCATGTTGGTGTACAGGTGGGGGTTAAAGTGGGCATTCACCCAGACATCAGGGTAACATCAGGTTTGGCTTCAGATTCAGAGCAGAATGTCAGATAGGCTTGAAGTTCCCTCCCAACCCCTGGATTCTGGGAACAAATTCCAGGGAAATGCTGTGGTCACCTTGGCATCTTCCTCCCTGGAGATGGCATAAGTGGGAACGTTTGCTCTCTGTCGCTCTGTCCCTCCCGACCTGTTCTGCAGGAGCCATTGTGGCTGTGTATGTCTTCTGCTGGATGCCGTATCACGTCCGCAGGCTCATGTACTGCTACGTTTCCGATGACGGGTGGACTGGGTAGGTGCAGCGGAGGGACCCAAGAATGTAGGCAAAGGGCCACTGGGTTGGGCCTGGGACTTTCTATGCTCTCCACAGGGATTCCCAGTTGCTGGGTCTTTGGGAACTCTGGCCTCCATTCTAGCTGGTCCTGCCCAGTCTGTGCCCTCAAACGCTCTGAGCTGGGGGTGGGGAACAGGGCGTTTTCTAGCAACTTCACCGAACTGATAAGGTCATGTGAGTGAGAAGTCTCAGTGGTGACCAGGGCTATGGGCATCCTGACCACAAGATGCAGAGGCCCTCGGGTGGGGGAGCAGGGGGAGGGCCTTGCTATTGCAAGGAGAGGGAAGGAAGCCTCAGAGCCTCCCTGAGTCCATGAGCTAACAAGGGCCCCTTAGACAGAGACCAGACCACGTATGCCTTTTGGGACACAACTGGAAAAGAGGAGAGAATCTACTGTCTTCCTTTGGGAAATCACTATGCCTCTGATCCTAAGTGGAAAGCAAACATCCAAGAGAAGAGAGATCCATGTAGTCTCCAAGGAAATGGCTGTGTCAACAGATGCCTCATCCTCGAGGGCAACTAGTGCCCCTTACATTCAAATGCATATGCAAAGCCCGCCCCACAGCTGAGAATCCTTGTGGCGAGGAACATGGCTTCTCAGAAAGACGTTCACTTCTTAGGGAAGCCACGTCTCCTGGACCACCCCCAGCAGCACAAGGCTCCCGGCGTCCCAGCGGGCTAGGAGACAGCCCCTGTCAATCAGCAGGTGCACCCTTCACTGCGCAGGGCACCGAGAACTGCACGGGGAACGGGGACTCAGAGGCTGGGTGGAGCGCACCTGCCAAGGGCAGCTGGTGTTGATGGACCGTTTTATCGAATTCATACCATGCTTCCCAGTAGCAGAAAACAGGCCTTCCTCACCTGGCCCTTTGGAGGAGAGATGCTTTCTCTAGAAGAAAGGGGTGGACCCTGTGAGGAGGTGCAGGTCCTCTAACACACCTCCCGGGTTTCTCTTCCAGGACACTCTACAATTTCTATCACTACTTCTACCTGGTGACAAACACGCTTTTCTACGTCAGTTCAGCGGTGACCCCTGTCCTGTACAACGTCGTGTCGTCCTCCTTCAGAAAACTCTTCCTGAAAGCCCTAGGCTCCCTGTGTCGAGAGCACCACCGCATGGAGCCATGACCCCAGGGAGCCCCGGAGCCCCCCTGAATGGACCCAGCTTCGGGCTCCGGGGATCCCCCAGGCACGCCGACCTGGATGAAACAGAAGAATGAACGAAGCAAACAGTGACTGACCGCTCAGTCATCTAGCATTCAGACAAGCAATGTTACCATAAGTAACTCAAGCTCTGCAGTCAGATGCACTCACCTGGACCCCCGGCCCCGCCACTTATCAGCTGTGCATCTGCAGGCCAGTCGCTTACACGCTGAGCCTCGGTCTTCCCCTCTGTGTGATGGAGATGAACAGTATCCAGCTCTTAGAGTTGTTTGAAGATTAAAGTGCTTAGCACAGTGCCTAGCGCATAATAAATAATAAATGTTGACTGGCATATTTTTGTCATCATTGTTACTGTTCTTATTATTGCTGTTTTTCACTCTCCTGGATGTCCACCACATTCTCCTGTAGCTTTTTGCTCATCAGTGGTGTGCTCAGATGTCCTAAGAATTTCCACAAATGACAAAGGACAGTGCTCCAGAAGCTTACTGCATTGTCACGTCACATGAGCTGTAGTAACCTTCTCCAGTCTTGCCCAGTAGGACTCCATGAGCCATGGGAGGGCCCAGGGGCACCCACTCCCCTCCCCTGGCCTCAGGCCAGCGTGACTGCCTGACGCCAGGCATTGGGACCACCCTGGGTGGGGGGACAGATGTGTGACTGACCTGGAAGCAGGAGGGTGCCAAACTACTATTTATTTTGGGGATCCTGGGAATACGCTCATGACCACTGCCACCTTCTATGTGGGAAAACAAGAGCAAAGAGAAGTTAAGGAAGGTTCTTCTGCCACTACTTAGTAACTCAGGGACCGAAGGCCAGGCTTAGGAGAGAGCGATAAGGCGCACCAGTGCATCCTGCTGCTTCCCAAGAGTCTGATGGCCAAAGAGCAACAGAAACAAAAGGCTCAACATGAAGGAACTGAGTGAATCATGATAATCCACTCCACAAATTCTATTTGTCAGGCCACCATTAAATAATAAGTATAAATCTTATTCAGCAACATAAACATTATGGTTGCACTATTAAAAAAGAACATGATACAAAAATACATGATGATATTATGTAGAAATCATTCAGATGCAGAGAAAAGGTCTAGAATGAAGAAGCCCTTAGTGAAAATGGTGGGTTTGCTAAGGAGGCACGAGTGACCCGAGGACAGGGGTGGTTTCTGTTCTCTTCATGCCAGGATCTGAACCTAATGATGCCTGCCATGCAGCAGACACTCAGATGTCTGGTGAAGGGCAGGGAAACCTGGATTGTTTTCCTCTAATTTGTTGGTATAATATTGTTTGTATGATATCTAAATAACAAATTTCAAGTAGAAATTAAGTTCCCCCCTATCGTCCAGAGAGCCCAGAGCGTGGGATGGATCCTCCCTCTGTCACTTATTAGTTGTGTGACTTAAGTTCCTTCACCTGCTTGGGCCTCATGTCGAGTCTGTGAAATAGACATCGTAACAATTATCCCCTGGGTTTCAAGAATTAAATGGTATCATAAATATGAAAAAATGCTTGAAAGTGTAGTACCTAGCACCAGAAAGAGCTCGGTTAGTAGTGGCTGTCATTAATATAAAGGAAGCTCTTGGTCACCAAATGCAAATTATCTTTCTAATTCTGTATTTAAACAACTTAAGCTGTTTGTGTGGTTGGCTGGACCGTTGGCTTGCTTGGCTAAGATCAAGAGACCCCAAAGGTGTTCCTTTCATCAGCCTTAGTCTTACAGCCATGACTTCCCATCAGTGCCAGAATTTTAGGACACTTCCACCAAACTTTGAAAGATGAAGGATGCACTGCCCACCTGTATGAGTTTCCTAGCACTGCAAAGTATGTGGCTTAGAACAACAGAAATCTATTCTCTCACAGTTGTCAAAGCTACAAGTTCGAAATCAAGGTGTCAGCAGGGCCATGCTCCCCAAAGGCTTGAGAATAGAATCCTTCCTTGCTTCCTCCAGCTTCTGGTGGTTCCCAGCAATCCTTGGCTTGCCGGTTCATCATTCCGACCTCTGTCTTGATGGTTACATGGCAGCCTTCCTCTGCTACTCACTCTCTTAAGACACCAGCCATACTGGATTAGGAGCCCACTTTATTCCAGTATGACTTCATCTCAACTAATTACATGAGCAACAACCTTATTTCCAAATAAGATCACATTCTTAAGTATCCAGGGTTAGGACCTGGATATATTTTTGGGGATGTGATTCAACCCAAAACAGCAACCAAACCCACCCTTCTTAGTAGGGTGGACTGCCACCCTTGGGAAAGATCCTTTTATAGAGCAAGAACCAGAGATCCCAAGAGAGAGAAATTTAAAGAAAGAAAGGCAAAGGGAAACTGGGACGGTATATTCAGTGAATGACAAATGTAGTCATGGATTCTTGTTTCTTCTCTAGACATGAAGGGCTTGAAAACTCTGCACTGGCTTTCCAACTGTTTTGTTAATTAAAATGCTAATTCCTTCTGAGCTGGGAAGTCTGCCTAAGCAAGTAGACTAAAAAAGAAACGAAAGCCATTGACATTGGACGTGCCCTTGGTTCATGTCTTCCTTAAAGAGCTGTTGCAGACTCTAAAGCCAGATCTGGAAGGTTTAATGCAAATCTTGTTATTGAAACGTTTCTAAACATTAATCCTGAGATTGCCCAGACTCAGGATGATACATAATGTAATATATTGGCTATATGCTGGCATCCAGCACTACCTCCCACAGGCAACTCAACACCTCTCCCAATGAAAGAATTTTGGATCCATACTTTTATCGTACAGAGAGCCTTTGAAGCCAACAGTGCCTTTCTAATATGTGACATTTGGTGGAAGTAAATTACTCAAGATGGAAAGCAGCTGTGATGTTAGTGGAACAATGCTTACACCTGTAGGCATGAATCTAGATTTGTTCTGTCACTTGATAGCTGTGTGATCTTAGACAAGTCATTCAAACTCGCTGAGCCATAGCTGTTTCATCTGAAGGTGTTCCCATTGGTATCTACTTCAGAGTATTGTTGATTAAATAATAAGCAGTCAGTCACCTAGTTAAATGCCTGGCACATAGTAGGTGTTCAAAAATGTTTGCTACCGACTGTTACTCATTTCAGAGCTAACACATTCTCCAGGGGGCCAGGTGACCTGGCAAAGGAATCAAGGCATGAAACCAAGTCTCTGGGTTTCAAATTCCATGCCCTCTCTCTGCCACATCTGCCGGGAGAACTCTGACATCCATGTGAATGTTGTTCTTACAGCCCAATTTCTCTTCCTTTACTGCAAGAGTTCTCAAATTGCTGGAAGTATTCAGGAAAAAAGAGCCACCGTCTGTGTATTTATTATTCTTATCTGGTTTGAGGGTGATTATTATTTCTGGTCTTGCAGAAGTACAGATTTCAGTATCTTCCAATGCTCTGGAATAGTTTTAATTTTATTATGGCAAAATACAGGTAAAATTTACCATTAGTGTCATTTAGCACATTCACAATGTAATGCAACCATCACCTCTGTCTGGTTCCAGAACGTTTCCTGGAATTTCTATTCCACAGGAATTCTCTCCTCTTTGGAGGTTAATGACTTTAAATCACACATGTTGCTGTGTCAGTCGACTCTCATTTCTATTGGTCTTCTGTCTGTATTTCTGGAGAGATGCACTAGTCTCCAATCATGGTTATGCAACTATTCCATTATTACCCTATTCTTTTCCTGTTCTGGCTTTCTAGATTTCACAGCAGTGCTGGCATAACTACAAAGTTTTGTGACCATTATCATCTCTTTGGGTTTAACTTTGAACTTTAAAGTATCTCTTCACCCATTTAATTTTCTAAAAAAAAATTTTTTTATCTTTCAAAAGGGATTTTTTTAAATTTTATTTTATTATGTTAATTACCATACATTACATCATTAGTTTTTGACATAGTGTTCCATGATTCATTGTTTGCGTATAACACAATTTTGAAGCCCATTCTGTTAGCTTTCCTAACCCAGTCTCAGAGCTTCCAGCTGCTATTAGGTGAATTTAATCCATTTATGTTTATTGTGATGAGGGATACATTTGGATGTGTTTCTGTCAACTACTTTATTTACCAAGTTTCTTCTCTCTCCCCTCCCCAGCCTGTTCTTCCCTCGTACCACATACACTGGGTTTTTTTGGTGTCGCTCTCCCTTTACTTTTTAGATGTTGGACATCCAGAGATTACCGTTGTTTTTTTTTAACATATATTTAAATGTTTCTTTTCTGCTAACATGTTAATCAATCCCATCCCATTAAATCAAGAATTTTAACTCAATTTCACTCATCAGTTCCTCCATCACCAGCCACTCCCACTCCCAGCTCCCATGTTGGAAGCACCTAAGACAGAAAAGAGTCCATTGATGGGCACAAGCACTACCATTTGCTGGGCATATTCATGTCTTCAAGGACACAGCAGTGAATTTGTCTTACAAAGTTCCTACTTCCATGGGGAAAGACAAATAAAACACTAAACAAAATGTATTCTATTGGGGACGACCTCATTAAGGAGGGGACCTATGAGGGATCTGAGTGATGTGAAGGAAAGAAGCGTTCTGGGCAGAGGAAGCAACAGACCTGAGGTGGGTACTTGCCTGGGAGTGGCCAAGTGGGCCAGGAGAGCCAGATGGCTGATGTGCCGTGAGCAAGGGGAACAGTCAAATGTTAGCACAGACCACCAACATTCCTGTTTACTGCCTTCTCAGAGACACCATCCCCACGCTTCAGCTGCACCTTCCGGCTACTTTACTCTTGAGCTTGTCTGGTTATTTCATCTGCCTACTGAGGTTTTAGTTTTGATTTCCAAGATCTATAATCCATCTTTTTTGTTCTGGATACCATATAATTTCACTGTGTTCTGATCTTAATCACACTTGTTTTATAGGATTCTGTTTGCTTTATTGACTCTTTATTGAGGTTATCACCCTTCACTATATAACATTTACTTTTTCAGGAGTCTTAGTTTTTTGTTGATTTCCATACTAGAGAGTTCCTGTTTGCTTATTTTGTTTACTGTAAACTGCCGCCACATAACTGTGGGGGACAGGACAATGCCCTGGAGAGAGGTGTGCCAAAAGCTTGTCTTCACAAAAGTCTGGACCCCCATGCCCTCCTCCTTGAGGCTCCACACTCTGCCTTAGCAACGGCCACCTGCTCAGCCCACGTTGGTGGCATCTGTAAGTGTTGCAGAAGAGCTGGAAGGAATCGAATAGCCCAGCTGCCCTAAACTATAATCACCCTGACAAATGCCCCAGGCCCCCTTCCAGCTTCCTTAGCCACTCTGAAGCACACAGCACCCCTGACCCCATCTTCCCATGCAGGTTTCTCTGCATGGTCTGAGCTGTGCTTTCCTTCATTTCTGCTCTTCTGTACACCTAATTTTGTCTGCTTTTCTCTTTCAGGGATTCCTCCACATGTGAATATATGTTTATTTTTATGGATTTATCATTTCCTTTCCAAAATTGTCTTTTCTGAGATTTTAACAGGGAGCCCCTGGAGATCACTGGCCACACTATTTCCTCTCAAAATAATGCAATTAATACTTACCAAAGAAACCGTAAGTGCACTCTATGTTTTATTTATAAGGCTGGAACAAACAAGAATATTTTGGGGTTTTTTTTCAAGTTTAAATTAAAAAAATGGGAAGAGTAGCACAGAAGCTGCTATTCACAAAAGACAAATATAACTAAAGAAGGTAAGTTTTTATTCCAAGATAGGAATAATGGCATATACAAAGTGATCGTTTTATAAACATTGAACTAATCTTTTATACTCGTGGGGTTTTTTTTCCTTAGGGGAAAAAAAAAGATTAACTCTTTGGCATCATCTTTTAAAATAATTTCTTCTTGGACGGTTATCCATTAGAGTGCTTATAAATGTCTGAGATGGATGTGTCGGAATGCCTTCTGATGGTTCATTTCTAAATATCTTTAAATTCTTTCTTCAGTTAGGGACACTCCAAAAGCACTGTGGTGCAGGGCAAGACAGACTCTGGTCCAGGATGCAGGAGTCTACTCGTCCATCCTTCTGCTCCTCTCCTGCACTGTGATCTTAGAGAGGTATATGCCCTCTGCATCTGAACCCTCTTGTCTTCCAAGTGGAGAATAACTGCACCCACGTGGGCTGTTGGAAGGACTAAGCAGGATCCTAACTGTAAAAGCACATGGTCCAACGCGTGGCCTGTGGTTGGAGACTCTAACGCGCTGGCTTGATACACATTCTGGCAGACAAATGGACCGGTGAGCATCATGGAACATTCCTGCTGTCTTCTCTGCTCTGCCCCCTTCCACTCTGATTGGGGCCAAGAACTCGTAAGAGAAAACAAGCTATTTAAGGATCGAAAAACTGAGCTTCAGTAAATTACAGTCAAAAGTTTAGCTCTTACCAACTATTTTCTATGTCACTTTGGTTGTGTTTGTTGTTTCAAAGCAAGCGATTTGGTCCTCTTTCCTTTGTAAGGCAAAGTCTGTCTCTTCAGGTCAACCTCAGCAAACCTAATTTCCTTTCTGAAACCCTTTTTGTTTTAAAGAAAGTTTCTTTTCACTTTTGCCCTTTCTAAGAGGTAGGGTATTGACCCTATACTATTTTATTTTAATAGAATCATATGTGCTCTGACGTAAAACCATTTGCTTTACTTTATTAGAGTTGATGCCTTTAGGCTAGCTTCTAGAAGAGCAAACTTGTAGGCAATTACATAATTCTTAGGAAATGACCTTAGTTTCTTCCCATCTCCAACCTTTGTACTTAAAATGTTCTTCTGGAATATTGCTTTGTAGTAGGTGATAAGGAAAGCCACATAGCCAAAATCCTATCCTTCACCCGAAATACTGTGAGAAAATCCAAGAGCGATCCTCTGTGAGAAAATCCAAGAGCGATCCTTTAGCACTAAGAGAAAAGTCAGGTTTGTCCATGGAAGCACATGGATGACATGACAGCAGGCAACAGTTTGTTCCTCGTGAAACAAGCTTCAACAGAGCCCAGGGCCACGTGGTCTGGCCCGGTAACCGGCAGGCATGGGTTTGCGCTCCTGCTCACCACCAACTCCTCCTCGTTGCTCTCGCTAAGACTCCGTGCACGTCCCGGCCCAGGGTTCCCAGCACACAGCACGAGGGGGCAGCACACCAGTCCCGGGGCCGTTCCAGTTCGAGCACCCAGGGATCTCAGATCTCCTGTAGCCCCAAGCGCATGAGGTTCTGAAGGCTCCACTCTCGCAGAGAACCTGCTGCTGTCGCCCTCAGATGTGCCGCCCCGTCAGAAAGAAGAGCGGCCGGTCTTCCTTAGCGTTGGCGGTCTGGAATTCGTCCCTCAGCCGGAACTGCCACTCGTCTTCCAGCTCGAGGCGGACCACCGTCTGCCGCAGGGAGTTCCGGTCCTGGCAGATGACGCACAGGGTGGCACCTACAAGCATGAGCAATGGCAGAGGCGTTGAAGAAAACAGGTGAGTTTATCCAAATGCAAGCGACTGCCTGCACTCTACTTGCAATAAGGAAACACGATGCTGCTTGGGAGGAAAGGACCAGACCACCAGGCGGCCTCCTGTGACTTTTGGAACGCTTCATAATCTTAACAGGACACACAGTGCGACTGTTAGTTGGGGAGGCCAGAAGAAAGGTCCAGAAAGAAGTAGGGGGAAGGAAGGGGAGAGAACCAGAAGCAGACACATGGGTCTGATCGCAAACCAAGTGGTCCCAGCTCCAGCCCTGTGTGAACTGCCCTGTGCTAGCCTGCCTCCCAGCGGGACCCCACCTTCTCATCCCACGCAAGCTGCCTGCATCCAGGCCCGACGCAGCAACCCCCGCTCCCTGCCCAGCCTTGGGAATTCTCCCTCCTCTCCACTTCTCGAATCATCGATCCATCACTCTGGCTTGTTCATCCGTTCATTCTGTTGGTCTGTCTCCCTCCTACCCACACATCCTGTCCTCCTGTTACACAAAATGTTTCCCGAAGGCAAAGACTGTGTTAGAAACCTCTTATTACTTCCCAAGCCTTATAGAGCATTGGTGCTCAGGAAACAGCTGCTCGAGAAAGTCAGAGGGAAGACGCCCAGGGTTAAGTGCAGATCGGTGAGGGATCCCAGCTGCCTGGAAACCATTTTTTTATGTCCTATAGAATCAATGTCTGTCACTCTCAACACCTCTAGCATGACAACAGCTACAGAAGGAGGGAGGTCAGAGTAAAAGGCAAAGAGTAGGCAACACCGCCGAGACGAGGAGGAAGAACTCGGGTACCAGGAGGAAGGAACTGAGGGAACTGGGTGCTGATGCTAAGAATCTGGGCTGAAGAGGAACACAGAAGGTGAAACTATCTCTTTGCCTAAAAGAAAGGGGATGTGTCTTGTCTCTACCCAGGCAGGTACAAGGGAATGAGAGTCACCCTGGGATTGCATCCCAGCCTTCTTGTACTTTCTTGGATAATTGGGGCAGTCATATTTCCTCTCTGAGCCTCCATTTACCCACAGGCAAATAAGGATGAGGACCAGAAGTCATCTCCTCAGATGCACTGGGTAATGAAAGGCATTCAAATCAAGGTCCAGAGTAAAAGGTATGAGCAGTTACCTTTCAGAAAATGAAACTTTTTCAAAAAGCTAGCTCCCACAAAAGAATCACAGAGGTACAGCAGGAGTCCACTAAACATGAAGTCAGAGCAGCTGATGTTTCGAGAGTGGGGCCTGGAGCTCACATAGCACACAGAAATCTGAAAAAGAAGAAATCCAAGAGAAACCATTGTTTTCCCTGAAATTCTCAACCACATGACGCTAGGGCTTTGCATCCAACAAAGACTAACTGCTTGGTCAAGCTCAAGGCTGCTGGCGGCGGGGGGAGGGGGGCAGGTGCAGAGACGATATTTAGTGTTATTTTCAAATCTAAATCCTAAAAATCAATTCCAGGAAATTTCTCCCGATTATCTACTCACTAATTCATCCGAGCATCAGAAGTGTTTTGGCATCAGAGTCGGCTTTCATTCCTAATTTATGACATCGGGGGCAAAGCATTTAAACTCTCTCAGCTATAAAGCGAGGTAAACACCAGAGGCAAAGGAGCTCCGTAGCAGTTACAAGTCCGAGTCCTGGACAGTGGCGCATCTGTTTTAGGAACATGGTGGACTCGTGGGCTCAGCCGGGGGCGGGGCGGGGGGGGGCGGTTCTGAAAGTCACCTGAGATCCCAGGTTAAGGTAGCAGTCGACCGAGAGCACAGGGTGGCTGTGGTTCTTCAGGGAGAGCGGGAAGAAGCGGTGGCTGAGGTGCTGCAGAAACTTCTCCAGCAGCAGCTGTGCGGGGGCCGCGAGGAACGTGTGCTTGCTGTCCGGGGCGCAGATGTACTGGGCTGGCACGATGGGCACGGGGTTGTCAGACACCTGCACGGGGAGGCACGGGGTCAGCTGCTCCCAGCCACTCCCCCCAGCCAGGATTCTGGGGGCGGGGGGAGTGGCCCTGGCCCAGAAGACTCAGTCGCAGGGTAGGGCTGGCAGGGGAGAACCCAACCTTCAACCATAAAATTCTCTATTAAGAAAAACTGGGCTTTTCCCCAAGTGGGACGTGTGAAACTAATGAATGTGATCAGGAAGAACTGCCACAGTGATCACTCCATGCAGAAAACCGGCCGTCTGGTCTAGAAAAATCGAGAGAACCCATGGAGCTTGGGAACTCTCCCCCAAATCCAAGGATGCAAACTTCTGGGCAGGTTCGGCCTCCTCCTGGCCCCCAGATCGTATCTGCCTCCCACCTACCCCCACTGCACTTCCTGCTGACCCCTGCCAATCCTCTTCCACCACCTCCTACTCCAGAGCCAACACGCTTTCCAGGCTGCAGCCAGACGGACTGTCGACATAAATCAAACTCATCAAATCCTCCGCTGGACACCCATCAGTGGTTTCTCATTACTCCTACAGAAAGTCCAGAATGTTCCCATGGCTGTTAAGGCCCTGCCTACTCTCTTCAGCCCATCTCTGCCACTCTCCCTGCCCATTATGTTTCTTCCACACTCACCTCCTCGCCCCAGCCGCTCAGCTCCTTCGCCCAGGTTCTTCCCTGAACCTGGATATAAAGCCGTTTCTCACCAGCCCCCCACCCCCGGGTCTCTGCTTTAATGTCACTTTCTCAGGGACACTCACACAGACTCCCACCCCCACCCTTTGCACGGGGAGGTCTCCCTGTGACAAACATCACCCCAGCAGTGCTTATCACAAGGACACCTCGCTACCTACTTAACATCTGCCTCAGCTGCAAGGCTCTACACTCCTGATTGAAGGGACGGTGTGTTCAGTAAATACTTAATGAGTAAATGAAAATAAGTTATTTCATTCAGATGAATGATTACCAAATGTTCCCAGCTCTCCTATATATATCAACATGCAACTAAACCCAATGGAAAAGAAGATGATGCTCAAAATAGGAATGAAGATAAAATATATAAGCTAAAAAATGATACTGAGGAATATAAAGAAAAATTGGTTTTAAAAGCATTAACAGGCTCCAGGTGCCTGGGTGGCTCAGTCAGTTAAGCGTCTGCCTTCAGCTCAGGTCATGATCTCAGGGTCCTGGGATCAAGCCCCTCATTAGGCTCCTTGCTCAGCGGGGAGTCTGATTTTCCCTCTGCCCCTCCCCACTGTTCGTGATCTCTCTTTCTGTCGATCTCTCTCAAATAAATAAAATCTTCAAAAAAAAGCACATCAGGCTCTTTGATAGACTTAGTGTGACAAAGATCAGAATTTTAAAAATTAAATTTATAAATCTAACACAATTTCAGTAAGAAATCTTAGTGGTGGGGGTGGGTAGGACTTAATGATTCTCAAGTTCTTCTGGAGGTACGGACCTTTTATTTAAATGTCTTGCTACTTTTTAAGACAAATGAGCATGGACTTTCCCTTTCAAAGAAGGCTTCACTCCCTGCTGATCGGAAGGGGCAGATGGGTAGGGGTTGGGGACTGGTATCCGAATTCAGACCTGGCCCAGCTCAGGATAAGTAAGCCACCACACAAGGATTTAGTGGAGACAAGGAAGGACAGAGGCTGGGAGGAGGCAGGTGGCACTGGGACTGGCTGATGTCCAGCATCAGGGCAACATTCAAGTTAGATGGAAGGAAAAAGCAGAGAATGGGGCTCTGGCCCAGGGATCGGAGAGACATGCCAGCCCCATATGGCTTCCTGGAAGACACAGACCTCTGAGGGTTTGCTGCGACTTTGCACCTCAAATTCTGCAGCTAGCATGGCCATAATCAGACCACGTTTCTCCCCACCAGGAGGCTGGCTCATGCACAGACAGCACAGCTACTGAGCCAGCCTGTTGGTGCGCTCGGTTATTTGGCCAGGCCCTGTCCGGGGGCCCGGAGATGAGCATGGCGCCCCGCGCCCCCAGGAGCTCTGTCCAACAGGGAAGCCAGACCAGTGAGCACAGAGCACAGCGACAGGACAGCTAGGTCGGCGGTGGGAGCGCAGGCGGGATGTGTACCAGGTGCTGATGAGAACCTGAGTTCAAGAGAAACCCGACAGCATGTTTCCCTTCCCGAGGCTCCCAATTAAAACCCTTTACTCACACCAGCCAGCGATCAAGCCCACGCCACGGACCGGCCTCCCCCCAGCTCCCAGCCTGTTTGCACACCACGGCAGCCCTGGCAGCAGACTCGGTGGGCGCACTCACCTTGGACGTGATGTGGAAGGACCTCTGCCCACCCACTGCAATCTGCTTCTTCATCACACTAAAGCGGTTGAATCGGCAGAGCAGGAGGCCAGCGCTGTGCACGCGCAGGTTGAAGTCCACATCGTCACACATGAACCTGCTCAGAAGCAAAGGAGGGAGCGGATAGGACTGGATGCAGCCGCCCACCCCCCACACACCCCACCAGCCACGTGGAGGGTGTGCCCCTGTGGAGGGGGGGGCGTCCAGTGGTGGGGTAGGCTCCTTCCTCCCGTACAGAGGCATGTGAATAAGGCAAAACCAACAAAGAGAGCAGGCCCAGCTGTAGCTTGTCTGCACCAGGGCAGGCAGCATATACCCAAGGCTAACAGGACAGAAGCACGCCCATGGGCTGACCCGATGCTCCAGGCCCTGCGCGAGGGACTCCACAGACACTGGTTTTCATCTACCGCTTAAAGAGAAAACAACAAACTGCCCGGAATAAAAACAGGAGCCACTTTTTACAGCCAAGGAAAACAAAGCTCAGAGATGGAAGGCCTGTGCCTAAAATGCAAAGCTGGTAAGTGGCAGAACCCAGATTCCCAGCAGGGCGGCCTGGCTTCCAGATCGACGCTCCTACAAGGGCCATCTTGGCTGTGTGCCCACCGCCTGGCCTACGGAGACGCCTGATAAGTGTTAGCAAGTGGGCTATTCTTCAGATGTGAGCGCTTCTGTGACTAGACCTGGAGAGAGTATCACACGGAAGTTACTTTTCAGTTTCAAAGCAATGTGTTCCAAGAAGGAGACAAAAAAGCAAGAGAAACAATGTAGCACATATGTTGTCACTAAAGTATCACGTGGACCGAGGAAGGAAATTGCATGATCTTATGCAAATCTCCCCTCCACAAAATTATACGATGCAAAATTTTTTTTAAACCTGAGGGCTGAAAGCAGGGCCAGACCAATGCTATGGGCTGGAGGGCCTGGGCCCGCGGGCTGTGCTGACGGCCGCAGCCGGGCAGGACTCACCGATTCTGGTTGTACTGCACATTCTGGGTCAGGTCCACGTTCAGGATGATGAAGTCGTGCACGTGGCAGCGGGAGAAGGGCTCACGCACCTCTCCGCTCCCCGTCTTGCTGGACCACTTCCGCATGCCAATCAGGGCGTAGTGGGTGATGTTGGGGGACGCCTCGATATGCTGCATGATGTGCTTCAAAGACACGTTTCTTTCTGACCAGGAAAATTCCCTGCTCGAAAGAGGAAGATTGACGTCCCTGGGTTGAGGCGCCAAGAGCAGCAAGGCCCTCTGGCTGCGGCCTGGGGGCTGCTTTCCAACGGGAGCTTATGTGCCGGGAGGTAGGGCTGGTTGGCTGGAATCTGTCACGGCCACCCCCGAGTGCCAGGCGCCATCCCGGGCACGTCACATCTACCATCATTTATCCTCACGGCAATCTCATGCCATGGACATATCACCCCCACTTTACCAATGAGGAAAAAGAGGCTCTGAGTAACTTGCCCCGTGTGACTCAACAGGACTTGGATTCAAACAGTGCTGTCTCCGAAGCCCTTCTTCCCATCCCGTGCTAAAACGCTTTGCATTTCCGGTTTGCAGACCTGAAGGTCAAGCGGTGGGGAGAGCGCCAAGCTTTCCACCATGCGTTCCAGGGAGGGGATGGGAAGGAAGAAGGTACTGCACCAACACCCACCCCAACTGGACTGCCAGTGTCTGTGGTCCGGGAAGACAACAGGGACACCTGATGACCAGGGAGGGGGCTGACGGCAGGGGCTCCAGGGCGAGGAGTTGGGCCCAGGCACGCGGCTCAACTCTTCTGGACCCCAGCCTGCTTTTCCCCCACCAAGGGGCTTCAATAAACTCCCCAGGGCCCTGGCCAGCCCCAAACCCCAGGACGTTAACTGCTGCTTCAGAATGGAATTCAGGAAGGCAGAATGAAAGCCAGTTCTCTCCCCGTCTCAGCCCTTGGCCAAGCTCTTGCCTTTGGAAGAAAGTCTGGGAGAATATTGGAAGCAAAGCGGAATTGCTACTCCCATAAGCCACATGTAGCTCTATCATTCAGAAAACACCTTTTTCTAGAAAAACAGCGATCAGTGGTCATTGTTTCATTAGGATATGAGTAACATAAAAGAAGTAAACGAACCTAATGTCTCTTAAAAAAAAAACAACAACAACAAAGGGCACCTGGGTGACTCAGTCGGTTAAATGTCTGCCTTCGGCTCAGGTCATGATCCTGGAGTCCTGGGATCAAGCCCCTCATCGGGCTCCCTGCTCAGGGGGGAGTTTGCTTCTCCTTCTCCCTCTGCTCCTTCCCCTGTTCCTTTTTCTCTTTCTCTCTCAAATAAATAAATAAAATCTTTAAAAACATTAAAAAAAAAAAAAAGCCAAAAATAATCAGGCAACACTGAACTGAAATATTCATGTGGCAAAATCACAAAAGGAACTATTTTACCAGTGATGTTGGGAGTCTATCTACCGAGCCTTTTCCACCCATGCTGCCCTCCTGCCCACCTCCAGGCACGCCGTTCAGAGTCTAAGTTACCCTCACGAAAAACCTCCAGCACAGGTCTTAGTGCCCTTCAAAAGATGAGGAAACTAGAACCCAAAAAGAGTTCAGTTGTTACCCTAATGTCACACAGCAAATGAAAATACACCTGGGCCTTAGGAGTTAGGCTAGGGGTAGGGGGCAGGGTCTGGAAGGCTACAGGAGGGAATTTCTAGGGCACTCGTTATGTTCCATTTCTTCACACAGGAATTGGTTAAATGGGTGTTCAGTGTGTGAAAATTTCTGGATATGTATCATACTTCCATTTTTTGTGGATACTTTATTTTTTTTAAGATTGATTGATTTATTTGAGAGAGAGAGAGTGCTCGTGTGCCTGAAGAGAAGGAGGGGAGGGGAGGAGCAGAGGGAGAGGGAGAGAAGCAGACTCCCCACTGAACGGGGAGCCCGTCATGGGGCTCGATCTCACGACCCTGAGATTGTGACCTGAGCCGAAATCAAGAGTCAGATGCTTAATGGACTGAGCCACCCAGACAACCCCGTAGGTACATACAGTGACTATAGATTGTGTGATTTTCTGTATTGATGATACATCAACACAATTAAAAACTCAAAATAAAGCTGGGTTTGGAACAGGAGCCTGCCCCATGCAGGGCCCTGTCCACCACACACCATGCCTTCTAAGATGAGGTGTCCCCCCTGTGGTCCTCAGATGGTGGCTGAGATTCCCCCGCTGAAAAGGAACAGGGTCGGGGGAGGCGTCTCACCTGCTTCTCTCCCCACCACAGTCGACGTCCACCACGTTCCACATCACGCAGGAGTCGTCGGAGATCACGATGAAAGGCCAGATGTCCTGTGGCTTGATCCCGAGCTCCTCCTGCCGGTTCCGCTCCAGCTCCAGGTTGTGGTAAGACAGCTCCTTGATCAGGAAATGGGCAGCACCTGAAATGGGCAAAACCACTCCCACTCTCCGGTCTGTCCTCCGGGGACACCCACACAGGACCAGAGCCCCGGTGAGAATTAGAGCGGCTCATCAAGGCCCACCCTGAGACCAGCCAGCTCCCGATGGTTCTCATCTCCGTCACCAACCTGCACACACACCTGTCTGCTTCTCCTTGCTGATCACAGAGAATGTGAATTAAGCCAATAACCAAACATCAAAGAAGAAAGAATATTCCAGCAGATCAAAGCAGCGTTAAAAATCAAAAAGCTTGATGAAAAATGTTAAGCATGTTCATCTCCAGAATATGCTCCCGAGCCTCCCTTCACAGAAATTTTACCGAGTAGGGCAAGTTAAACAATGCCTACCAACTCCAGCACTGTTGAAGATACTGGGGAGCACCAGCATGATGTGGTTGGGCCAGTATTTCTTGTAAATAGCCATTTCATACTCCTTGACAACCAGCACATGCAAATGGCTGGCACCATCCATAGCGTGGTACAGATTAAAGAGTCCATGCTCGTGACGGCCAGTGGTTGGAGTGAATGTCGGACTTTTTATACATTCGTGACTCTGGAAAACACAGGAATAGCGAGGGGAAGTGTTTGTAAATATGGTCACAATCACTCCCCTCCCTTTGAAAAGTGACTCTGCAGCCTCTTCCATCAAATGATGGAGGCTAGAATCCAGCTTAGCCTTGGGACTTGCTTTTACCAAAAAAAACTGAAAATGATAGTATGCCAGTTCCAAGCCTGGCCTCCAGAGGACGGACACATTCTGCCCTCTCTTAGAACCCTCTCACGGATGAGCTGGGCTGGCGGCTGGAGGAGGAGAGACCACAGGGCGCAGAGACGGGATGGGCACCCCACGGTAACCACCCTCCCCGGCCATCCCCCAGCCGACCTGGCAGCTAAGCACAGACATTGAGTGAGCACATCCAAGCCAGGGTCACCACACGGCGGGACCAAGCCCAAGCTGCTAGCCCAGAGAATCAGAAGCTAAGTAAGTACTCGTTTGGGAATGGTTTTCTTATGCAACCCAAACGAACTAGCATCTATCAATTACCCAAATGCATTACCCTGCCAAATGAGCATCGACTGTGTGCTGAGTATATGTTATTCTGGATGATTTAAATCCCTCAATCCCTTATCCATACAGTCTAGCTCCTTATACACTCGGGTTGTGAATCTTTTATATAAATAACTAGGTTTTCTTCCAGTCTGGCCGAGCTAGGTCTTCTACTCCTTCTGAGTTCCTCAGAGCACCCACTACAAGGCTGTGATGTAGCTGGTGCCCAGAAGTTCTGGTGGGCACTGGCTGGAAAAGTGAGGGGGGTAACACAGAAGTCCTCCACCAGGGCAACAGCCCACCCCAGCCCACGGAGTAGGAGACACCCTATAATAAAGGCCCCATTGGTTGTTTACAAATGTTTTCAACGCTCGGTAGAAGCCTGCTGGGTCTGAAAGGCAATTCAAACCCCATCATACTGGCCCTCTCACCCAGAGAAGGAAAAGCAGCGTTCCACACAAGGCTGACACTGGCTGGGGCTGGTGGGAGGGCAGCAAGCTGACCCTGAGAGTGTCGGGCTGATCTGCCAAAGCAGGCATCCCTAGGAGGAGCGTCCCTAAGGATGCCGGTCACAGAGACAATGAGTTATGAAGAACACCCTCTTCAAAAGAGAGAAAATTCATCTTTTATGGATGACGTGATGCACCATCTGGGATTCGCTTCCAAATAACAGAGGAAGGCAGAAGAGAAGGACAGACGGATCGAGGCTGGCTGTGAGACTCTAGGCTAGGTAGTATCGGCTAGGTAACAGGCCTGCAGGGGCCACTACACTATTCTACTACCTTGGCCTGTTTCAAATGTTCTGTGACAGCAGTAAAGACAAGGTGGGGAAGGGATGAACATCGACGGAGCACCTGTCATCATCCAGGCACCGTGCAGGTGCCCTACGTCGGTCATTCCAAATCATGCTCACCGGAAGCTCCTGCAAGAATTACTACTGCCCAAGTTCACAAATAACTCGGGAGCTGAGGCTCAGCAGTATTCAGGGACAGGTTCAAATAACACAACTCAAAAATGGTAGAGCGAGGTTCAAACTGGAGTCGGAGTGACCCTAAAGCCCAAGCGCTCCCCAGCCTCCTCCAAGTCCAATCACCGTCTCCAGCCCCACCTGCCCCACCTGCCCCACCTGCCCCTGACTCATCAGGCAGCTCCGGTCTCCTGCTCAACGGTCACTCGCAGCCACTGTGATGTCACCCCCTGGACTCAGAGCCAGTACCTTGTCTGTGACAAGGGGCAGCCGCATGCTCTCCAGCTGGCCTCCGGGTTGGCTGAAGACAAAGTGGTGCTCCTTGGACTTGGGGATGATGAAGTGGAGTTGGATTTCCTCTCCTAGCATGGAGTAAGAGAAGGCAAAGGCGTGCAGGGTGGACTCATAGAGCTGAGGTGTGAGGGGAAAGGACAGAGCTTGTCATCAGAGTCCGGTGTTACTTCCCAGAAGAACCCAGGCCCATCGTGGGCATGACAACACAAAGCTCATTGCCACCGCCCCACAGCACGAGAAACCCACCACAGGTTGACTCCGGTACAAAGTGTGGACACCCAGGTCTCGTTACTGGGCAGACACAGTGGAGCCCACACCCACTCAGACGGAGACCTTCCCATCTTTAATTCTGATCGTGCTTCACCCAGTGACGCCCCTTTAGACGCCAACCCCTTCTGGACTCTGGATTTGACCCAGAGGCATGCTAGGTTACCAACAAAAGCTTTCACACCATAGGTCTCATTTTTTAATTCTAATAAATGTATTTTTCCATCACAGGCATTATGCATAGCAACATATTAATAAAACCGTGTCAGTGAGTGCATACACTTGTACACTCCTGTCACCCTCACTCTGTCTGGGCCCCCTTCCATCCCTATGGTGCCGTGACAAACAATCCTATGAAGCAGGTACCGTCCCCATTCCCACTGTATGGATGTGGAAACTGACACTCAGAGATCTTGGGTTCACTCCTATCCCCAGGCCTACCCTCCCATCCCCTCATCCCTTGTCTGCCTGCACTGCCCCCTGGTGTGACCCCCCCCACCCCCGTGCCACATGGCTCTGCCCAAGCCTCCTTCCCTGACCCCCCTCCGCCTCCAGTGGACAGCCCCTCCCCAGACTGGCAACTAGCATGTGCGCTGCACTCCTGAGAATCCCCAAGGCCTGGAGAAGGCAGGCCACACACGACACCCCAACTATAAACTCCTACTGTGGCTCCACTAGAACCACAGAGCCCTTTGGGAGCAGAGAGGACACAGAAATAGATTTTGACTTGGGGAGGGAGCAAAGGGGGACGTAACTGAGGAAGCTTCATTAAAAAGATCAGGGAGGCCTGAGAGAGGGGGAAAGACAGCAGGGGGAACTGAGGCTGGAAAGGCCAGCAGGGAGCGGGCGTGTGCCCTTCAGCACTCCTCACGTGGCCTGGTTCTGAGCCCCCTGCGACCGTGGCCCCCAGACCTGAGCGCCCCTGGACACGGGGGCGCAGTCCAGCCGGAGCCCAGGGTCTCCAGAGCTCGGTTCTGTTAATTCACTCTGGACACCGACCGAAGTGACCGTGACTAAAACCCATGAGCCTCCTCCGGTTCTTTAAACTTATATTTTCTCTGCTTTGAAAGAAAAATTTCATCTCCAAGGAGGAAATGTTAGGACAGCTTATCTGGAACAAACAGAATTACTATTTTTAATTCTTTAAAAAACTGCTCATATGCATTTTCTAATTTTGTCTCCAGTACAACTGAATAGTTTAAAAAAAATCAGTCTTGATGCTACTTCAGTGAGAGCTGAGCTCCAGGCCGGGCAAACTTGGGAAAATTAAAGCCACTATCTGCTGTTCCCCTCTGCAAAAGGGACAGAGCTGGCAAGCCCGTGCTCAGGCTGCCGCAGAGCCTTCTGGAAGCAGCCAAGGGCGTGAGCTATCCTGCACACCCCTGGGGGCTTCGTAGGTGTCTGACTGGCTCCCACCACCTCCAGCTGCCCCAGCTGCTCCTTCCTCCCCTTTCCCTTACTTAGGTCCGAAATGAAACACTAACTGTAAAATCCTGCCTGCTATCTGTTTCTTCATGACCGGCCTCACAGGCCCTCTGTGAACTTGCAAAATGCAGCTTTGCCCACGTTAGGCCACTCCTTGGAGTTCTCCCTGAAAATGTCCCCATTCCACCTTCCCCACAGCACCTGATGCCTTTTCTTAAAATGTTTTATTTAAATTCAGTTTAGTTAATATATAGAATGTATTATTAGTTTGGGGGGTAGAATTTAGTGATTTGCCCATTGCGTACAATACCCAGTGCTCATTCCATCATGTGCCCCCCTTAATGCCCATCCCCCATTACCCTCTCCCCCAACCCACCTCCCCTCCAGCAACCCTCAGTTTGTTTCCTAGAGTTAAGAGTCTCTTATGGTTTGCCTCCCTCTCTGTTTTTATTTTTTTTTTCCTTCCCTTCCCCCACTACGTTCATCTGTTTTGTTTCTTCAATTCCACATAGGAGTGAGATCATATGTATTTGTCCTTCTCTGACTGAACCTGATGCCTTTTGTGGTGTACTCTCCTGGCCCACCTTCCCAGTGTCCTCTCCTGGGACCACCCACCCCTTGCACTTTAGGGTCCAGCGATGCCCGACTAAAATCACTTCTAATTCCCCCGGAGACCCCATGTCTCCCCTCTACTGGTGACAGGGGTTCCCTCTCTTATCTGCCTCGGTCCCTTGGCAAATCCTTATTGATTCTTCAAAACCCTCTCCTCTGCTCCCCGCCCAAGACGGTATCTTCATTTATAAAATGGGGATAATGTTATTGGCTTGCAGGGTTTTAGTGAGAATTAAGTAAGAAACCAGACAGGAGAGTTTCCTCTCCGGTGGGTGTTGAATGGGTGAAGGTGTAGCTTAAACACTGACACCTCCAGGTGACCAGCCAGAGCCCGGGGTCAGTAGCCTTATCCATTTACCCGAGCGTCTAAAGTATCATTTTCTAGCACGTTAAAAGGTTAGCGGAAGTACTGACATATCAAAAGTGCCTAGCACGTTGCCTGGCATGCAGTAGGTGCTCAGTAAGTGCACACTGCTCGCCTTCTCTACCTGATTTCTATGCTTCATCAGTACTGCCTTTCCTGCCAGCCCCTCATTGTTCTGAGGTTTTGTGCCCGTGCATCTCTCCATCCCCGGACTGTGAGTCTTGACTACGGGGACAGAGTTTATTCGTCTCTCTGACTGGTACATCAGCACTCAGTCTGCTGCACTGAACTCACTTCAGAAACTGCTAGAACGTCAAGAAAATGAAGACATGCACAGTCAGTTAACTCTGCCACTAGTAAACGTGTAATCCCAGGAGAATCACTGCTTCTGTGCTGTCAGCAGTAACTCTGGAGATTACTGAAGGGACCTGGAGATGCACGCAGACCGGGAAGCAAAGGCTTCCAGAACGTTCCACACCCTGCTCTGGAATGAAAACCGAAAACATCAGGCGGAGAGGGAACCAAGGGTGTCGGCCAAAACGCAGCGTGCCCGAGAGCTGCCCGCGCCAGGGCTCCTGGAGACTCGGGCCCCGGGCCCCGCGGCCTACCTGGTAGCGGGGGTGAAAGCCCATGTACTGCTGGCATTGTTCACAGTGGTGGTATGTGTTGTACGCCGCGTACTTGGACAGCCTCATCCGCGCCGTCTGACGCCGCACGTAGAGCTCCTCGGGCTTCCGGGACGGGCCCCTGTCTGCAGGAAACGCCAGCGTCACAGGGCGGCTGCAAGCGGAACAAGCCTGCCCTCCGCGCTGCTCTTCCGATCGCGAGGAACGCAGGTGCCGTAACAGGGCTTCCCGTGACTGCGCCCGGTCCGAGACAGCCGAGACCCCGCGGGAGAAGCCGACAGACTCTGTTCACACGGGGTCTTCCTGACGGACCTACAAATGTCTTAGACACAGATTCAAGGATGCGCTCCAGGACAACGCACATGGACTGCCGACCGCGGATGCAGATACCGTTTTGCAGATGAATCGCCTCTGGTTTGCCGAAATGACTTAGCCAGATGAAGATTTTAACCCTAAACCTGGATTAGAGACTGGTCTATGTGAAGGACTGGTCAGTGAAAGTGCTTCAGATAGAGAGAAGGTAGAATTCTTGGTGTGACATGGAGACTGGGGAGTATCCTCCTTCCCTTTCCACTCACCCAACTTTCCTAGCCTGCACTTAAAATCATACTAGCCCACTCATATCCGGTGTTTGCTGACGGTGACCCTGAAGCCCTGCGGGGTGCTAATACCCTGAAAGTCAGTGGTCCCTGAAGGAGGAGGGGGAGAACAAGACACTGAGGCTAGAGAGGGAAATATGTGTGCTTCATTAGGACAACCCCAATTCATACATTAACACCCATGTCTCGTATCCCCTATTAACCAGGACCTTGAGGATATTCTGACCATGACACACCCCCAGGAGCGCGCTCATCACTGTCCCCGTGTGCGGAGCCGCCAGCCTGCCTTCTCGGGAAGAGCCCGTCCTTGTCCACTGAGGCAGTGACCTCAGTTCTCTGCCAGGCACCGCTGGTTATTTCCCACCACCAGACAACTGAGCTCATCGCCAACACAGTTCAGCGCAGCCCTTTAAGAGGCTCTTCCTACGTACTCTGGAAGAAGGTGGAGGTTTATGGGGCTGACCTTCGCTCTTTATGCTCTGAAGGTGGGAGCAAATCAGACTGGCATCTTCATACTTCGGGTCATGAATAATGTAGTCAAAAGGCAACTTCTTGAACAGCTCCAGGTCTGGCCAGGGGTCACTGAGCTGGAGGTAATGCCAATCTGATTCCTCTCTGAGATCTGTAAGATTGGTAGAAACACAGGTGACAAACTAGGAAGTGAGAATGATTGATTTTTAAATGTGTACACGGGTGATGCTTGCGGGAGAGCTGTTGCTGAGTCTGTGGGTTACCAGGGGATGCTACTGTCTCTGGAAGGCTCCTGGAACATACCGCATTCTCAGGATTGTTCCAAGGAAGCAAGAGGTGCCTTTGGGTCTACCTCTTATCCATGGCCTGTGCTGTGTTTCCTGTGGGATGGGTTTGCATTTCTGGCTCCCATGTTGACTTCAGCTCCTCCCAATATACCTACTGCTTGCTCTGCACATCCCCCCAGCAAGCCCCACCCCATATGCAGCATACTGGTTCCCACTGCCAATGGAACCTAACACAGTTCTCGTTCTTGTCTTACATCTAAATGCTACACAGCCGTATGGCCAACTCCTCATGCACCTCTAGAAAGCCTAAGTGTTCAAGCCCACTGGTTTCTCCCTTCTGAATGCTAACACTACTCATGGCCCAAATTCTATCTTACATCTTACCTCATAACTGGTATAATCTATGATGCTCATTCAGTGCTGGTTGGCTAAAAAAGTAAAAATATCTAGACGGTCCAACTAAAATTACATAATGTATTGATCTTTATAGCCATGGTATGTACACATGGGCAGAGTGTGTGTCCATCAGAGAAGAAACAAACAAAGAAGAGGGAGAGGCATGTTTATTGCGTGTGTAATAAGTGCTCAGTGCCTCATATGTATCTTAATCTTCACAACACCCCTTAAAACAGCAATTATCCATGCTTTCCCAAAGAGAAAACCAAGGCAATAGGAGAGTTTCTGAGAAAATGGGCTTTGAAGTTGAACAAACTGGGCTCAAACCCTGTCTTTGTCATTGGGATATCCAAGAAAGTGAGGACACAGAGACTCAACAGGTCTGATTTTCATCTGAAATTCAGTTCCAAACTGTGAGGGGGGAGGTGTGAAAGCTCAGAGCTTGGATGAAGAGCCTCCCTCCTCTTTCCTTCAAAGGAAAGACTAAGGGATGGATGAGCCTCCTTGGTTCCAAATTTTCTCCAAGTCAAAACTCAAACACAGTCAAGAACATCTAAAGAAATGTCTTTGCAAATGGCAGGACTTTCATCTCTTTTAAGGCTGAATGATATTCCACTGGGTGTATATACCACACTTTTCTTTATCCATCCATCTGCTGATGGACATTTATCCATCAACGGACAACACATGGTTGTGTTGTGTATCTTGCCTACAGTGAATAACACTGCAGTGAACATGGTAACTATGAACATGTCAATTAGCTTGATCGTCGTGGTGATTTCACAATGTTATACACATATCAAATCATCAAGTTGTACACTTCAAATGTATACAATAAAAATAAAGACAAGTGCTATTTAGATGCTCAGTGCAATCTACTCGTTCCCTTTCTCTGCAACACAGACAGGCCTCCTCACGCAAATTTTAATTCCCAAAGCAACAGATTCATTTACCAGACCAAGTGGATGAGCCATTGGAGGCCACACAAGGAGGTAGTGGAGCATCAAACACCTGTTCAAAGGGAGTCTTACCTTAATCAGGGCAAATTCTGTTCCCTGAATAAGGAGAAATGGCTTTTTGCCACATACCATATACTTCCATTTTGCCCTAAGATGTGGACCTATGCGCTCAGCTGCCTGAGTGGGAAATTCCCCTGATGGATAACCCTGCTTTCTAGAAGCAGCCACCAAATCCAGTTCAGCTCCAGCTCTGCCATCTCCCAGCTGGGCGCCTGAGCATGTTACTTATCAGGAAATAAGCAATTACTCTCACTGGGATGTGCAGAAAGTTAAATGCAACAATTTATGTAAAGTATCCAGCACAGTGCCGGACACTTGGAAGATACGCAGTCAACAGCGGTTATTTTCAGTGTAGCAATGTTATCTCCACGAAGGCCTCCCAGCGCTATTCTGATATTGAGCAAAACAACGGCAAACAAGGGAGAGATAAAAGCACCCCTCAAGGCCCCCGGGATGAGTGGGATCACTGATCTGAAAATTCCACCTAGATGGGAAAAGACATCAAGTCACCCGAGAAACTGATTAAAGAGGATTCTAAGCCCACGTGTCACTAACGCATAACTCACTGATATTGATCTCCTCTTCATCATAAACATCCACTTCCGTCAGCCGGATGAGCATTCTGGACAAAATACTGAGGAACTGCAGGTAGGCACCTGTCTTCCCAATCTGTGAAGACATTGGAGTTGGAGCCAACGCTCAGTACGGCCTGTCTACGTGCAGGCACCAGCTGGAGCACCGGACAGGCTCTGTGTCACCTCTCTCTTTCCAAGACCTCACCTCATTAAAGCAAGAGCCAGGGGTATGCAAAGCCATTTGAGGGGAAATGTGACCTAAAGAAGGATGGCAGGCCACAGAGGGACTCCCGTGAGCAGCAGACCTGCCTGCTTATAAATCATGGCAGTGCATCTCTACTTTTAATTGGCCACATTTTCTAAGCTGTTAGAAATAGGACTTTAATAGCAAACTGAAGAAAGGTTGCTTCAAAAGATGAATTGACAATATAAAGCATAATAATGTCTTAGAAGAATCTTGTATGGGGGCGCCTGGGTGGCTCAGTCGGTGAAGAGTCCAACTCTTGATTTCGGTTCAGGTCAGGATCTCAGGGTCGTGAGATCAAGCCCCGCATCTGGCTCTGTGCGGGGCATGGAGCCTGCTTGAGATTTGCTCTCTCCCTCTCCTGCTGCCCCTCTCCCCCATGCACCTGCACTCTTTCTCTAAAAAAAAAAAAAAAAGAGAGAGAGAATCTTGCATAATTAGATTGCTCTTCTTGTGTTAATCGATAGGTCTCTAATAAGAGAACAAAATCTGTTGTGCAAGACTTAAAAGTCTGGCATCTCATTTCTCTCCTCCTAAGGCCAGGAAAAGAAAATGATTTTTCTTCTCTTCCTGCTTTTTCTTCTTGTATCTTAGAGTCCCTCGCTCCCTCAGCCACACACCAGGCTAGGACACTATTGAGTCTTAGTTCACTTTGGTCACAGGTGGTTAAACGGGCACCTGTGGGCTAACCTCCCACCCTGTTACTCTGGGAATGTGCTTTCTAAGTTCTCAGCTCAATGCCTGGCTCATACTCTGTACTCAACAAATGTAGATGAACAGAAATAACTAACTTTAGAAAAGAAAATATGAAATACGACCAGGTGAACGTTCAGAGAAAATACTTGCCATACATGTAATAATAGACAAAGAATTAACATCTATAATCTCTAAAGGGCTCCTGCAAAGCAACAGGAAAAGGTCAAATGCCTAAAGGAAAAGTAAATAAGAGAAACACACCAGAAAAATCACTGTGAAAGTCGTAGCAGTGACCCATAAGTATATATATTCAACCTTAATAAAACTATAATATACTAATCACCTATCAAATGGGTGAAATTTTTTAAGATAACATTCAATAACATATGACAGTATGGAGAAACCTGGATCCCCTTTTTCAAATTTACAAAAAGTTAATATATGCTCATTCATTTAAACATTCAAGAAATACCGAGTGATGGTGAAGAAGAATGTTTACAAAGCCCACACCCTCTTCAGTGGCAATTCCACCAGGGATTTCTTTTTGGTATTTCCGCACACAGAGACATATACGTACACACCAATACTTATTTTCCTAATTGATATTACACTGTGTATATATTACTCTGTAACTTGATTTTTTTCAATTTCAATTTCAAATTTTTCAATTTAAAACCTTAGAGCAATTTCAGTGTCAGTATCTAGAGATCTACCTCCAACTTTCTATGGCTGAACTGTGTGATACAGTCGTGCCCAAATTTATTCAACCGACCTTGACCAATGGAACTTCAGTTGTTTCCAGTTTGGTTTTTGACTATTGTAAACAATCCTAAAATGAGAATTCTTGTACATGTTTTTGCGGGTTTGCATTTCTTGGAGCAGACTGTAAGGAAATTAACAGGCTGAGTCCAAAGGCAGCCATCATGAAACGGGACAGGACGGTATTGATGGGGGTGAAAACAGCAGTAACTGACCCCACAGTTACCTGCTCTCTATAGTCAGGCTGTACTCCAGGCGCCCTGTGGTTATTCTCTCGTTTATTGCTCACATCTCTGACTCAGGTGCTACTCTTTTCCTCATTCTCGGAGAGGCCACTGAGGCACGGAGAAGGCTGGATCCTGCCCAGGGTGCTAGGTGTTGTCTGAGGCAGAATTCGAGCCCACTCCGGAGCCCACCTCCCACCTCTGCACTGTTCTGACAAAGCCCCTTCCAAGACCTGACACGGTCATCTTCACACACTCCCAGCACTTGGCAGATGTCTCCCATTTTGACAACTGCAATGTCTTTTGTTGTTAGGAAAATACAGTGAGGTGAGAGGTTGGGATAGGGACAGGCCTCCTGCCTCCCCAATATGTTTCACCAAAACCTTCCGGTGCAGAACCCAGGGTGGGGGTGGGAGGGGGCGTTCTAATTGGCACAGACTGGCCGTGGGGACCAAATGAACTAATGTGGGAAGAGCAGAGTCAGGGTCTGAAGGAGCACCCACAGAGAAGCTCTCCGCCCCCACATCCCGCGAGGCAAGCACCTGCGGTCCGAGGCTGGACGTGAGCCAGCCGTGGGTGGCAGGCAGGTCCCGACCCCCAAGCCCCCGCCCACTGTGGGGTCAGCCGTCAGAATGGCAAGATGTGACTAAGGGGGTGCTGTCAGCCCCAAACCGGCCCCCGTGGGCGTGAACACGAGAACCCCCACGCAGCCCAGGCCCCGGCCGGGCAGCACCCACCTGGGGGGGCCCGCTGAGCAGGAGCCTGCGTGGGTGGAAGCCGTCCACGCGGCCCTCGGCGCGGTTGCCGTAGTCCATGTGGTTGGGCCGGGGCACCGTCCACTGCCGGTAGTAGAGGGACTGCTCTGTGGACGTCATCGTCTTGCTGAGCAGGGGGCGGAAGGAGCTGGCCCACATGACCGAGTGGGAGGGCAGGAGTGAGGCGGCCTTGGGCAGGCCGCTGCTGTCGGTGGCCGTGACCATGTCGTACACCAGCTTGGGCAGGAAGACGATGGGGGGCTGCCGGCAGGCCTTGGTCATGGAGCACTGGGAGGCCTGCAGGACGAGCGTGCCGGCCGCGGGGGTCACAGACGAGGAGGAGGAGCCCGAAGAGGAGAGCTGGGAGGACGACGGGGTGACCGACACCTGGACGCTCCTCTGGCTGGCTCTCAGGCCGGAGTCCGGCTGGGGGGCCAGCCCAGGGCTGTGCCTGCTGATGACCGACGGTGGCCCCCGGCTCGCTTGGGGCCTCTGTCTCTCCCCGGGGACCCTGCCCTCCTCTGAGGGGCCGCAGGGCTGTGGCGACCTGGCCCGCTCCCCCTGCGACGGTGGCCCAGGCTGAGCCGAGGACTCGCCGCACAGCGCCGAGCCTGGGGAGGGATGCACCCGTCAGTCACGCCCCAGGGAGGACCCTCGCCAAACCGCCCGCCACTCCTGTTCCTGTGACACAAAGTACCCCTACTTGACAATCACTGGGAACTTCCACGAACAAAACCGAAATCCCCCCTCTGGGTACACAGAAACTTTTGTCTTAGGACAGAGCCACGACTTGCTGAAGAGAGCGAGCCAGTGTCACGGGGCGAGACTTCACCCCACACTCACCCCGGCACCCTGCACACGGCCTCAAAGCCTCTCCGTTGCAAGCCCCGACCCAATCTGTTCCACAGCACCCGGCTCAAGCTCCGCGCACGCCCCGTGCAGGTGTTCCCGGGACGCCGCTCCCCGCTGTCCCCCCGGGGAGCTCACATCTAGCCTCTGCACCAGCACAGTGGCAGCTTCTCGTGCAAACTGCCAGGGAGCCGCGTGGGACCCAGGACTCAGGAGGCTTTAACCAAACGCTGGAATTACCTTGCTTTTCGAAGGATCGGGGGAGGAAACGCAGAGCAGCCAGCCGAACCAGGACTTCCTTCCGCCCCTCCCCGACGTGCACCACGTTGAGGCCTCGGGGAGTGTGGCCACATACCGGGCAGCACCCTGCTCTCTCCTATCATCCCAGCCATGCGCACCAGGGCTCGCGTGGCAGCTCACGGCAGCCCTGCAGAGCTCATGCCCGCAGAAAGCAGGGCAGACGGGACACTGCATCGTTGTCTTAACTCTGTCCTTTCCCAGGAGACGGTGTGGACAGAAGACAGACCCAGGGAGGCCTGCCTCAGAAAGGCCTTCCGGCCACCCTGCAGCACTTGGCTCAGCCTGCACCCCACGCACCACGCTGCTCAGGCAACCTCCCCTCTGGATCTGAGCTCCCCACAAGGGCCCTACCACTCGGCTCCACAGCCTGCATCTAGCGCCCTTCCAGACGGCTCACGGAAGGAGGACATGCAGCACTGGCCAGTCCCCCTCGGCTGGAGGCTCCTGCTGAGATACCCTGTGCTTGGGCAAGGCACTTGAAGCGACGGGCTCAGTGTCAATGGACTAGCCCGAAGAGCACATATGGGGAGGCTGTGAGGGACCCGGGCACTGGCCTGGGACAAGGGGGACAGATGGGCCTGAAGGACATCAAAGAGGCACAAGATTCCACAAGTAGACCAAGGGAACCCCAATGCCTTCATCCGCTTCCCTAGGTTGTGAGGGCCAGCCCAGTAGGACCCTGAGGATGGACACCCACACGGACGTTTCTCTTCGTCCACCCCCAAACCTCAGTTGGTCTGTCCCCAGTTGAATCCAGGGAAACTGTCAGTCTATAAAGATGAGACCCACCCTCACCCAGGTCTCCACCCTGACTCGGTGGCTGCGGCCAAGTCTCACCTCCCTGGGCCTCCATTCCCTCATCTCTGAAATGTATGGCAGCCGAGGCCATGAGAAGCGTCTCGTCAGAGACCCCTAAGACCTCAGGACCTTCTTCCGAGGAGTCCTGGCTAAGAAAGTCACCTCACCTAAATGAAGAACTCCAGGAGAGAGCCTGGCTCATAGCCTGGACATTCTACTCCTGAAGACGCTGCACAGACCAGTGTGTCCCCAGAACCTTCTAGAAAGCTGTACCACCAGGACTGGGGAAGAACAAAGCACGATTCCTCTCTATTCTGAATAGCACAGATTCATTCACTCACCCATTCGCCAGCTCCCTATATTGTTTGGGGCAGACGACACCAGAGGCTACAGCATTTGGCTTTTCTGACTACCCCGAGCCGAGGACTAGGTCTCCCTTCTGCCGCAGAAGGATGTGAAGGAGTCCTCGTTCTGACTCCCTCTGGGCACAACTGTGAGGGAGACCCCCCTCAGCCTGGCTCACTGTCACCCGTGGGCTGTGTGAGGAGGGGGCAGAAGACAGGAAACCAAATCCCTTGGTGTTCTCTGACCTCCACAGCCAGGTGACCACCACGCCCTGTGCCCAAGCACCACATGCCCCTCCACAGCCCAAGCCTCCTCCATCCTGAGTATCTTCTCCTCTGAGACCCAAAGGCCCTCCTCTAAGGGGCCGCAGGGCTGTGGCGACCCGGCCCGCTCCCCTGCAGGGACCGCACCCTATCCCTAAACCTGCCCCCACCTGAGGCAAAATTACCTCTCCATCCACGGAACTGTCCCACGTCGCGCGCGCGCACGTGTGTGTGTGTGTGTGTGTGTGTAAACAACAACGCAGCCCTTGTAGCGCTATCACACGGCTGATGAGGAACCATGAACACCCTGAGAGTGGGTCTGTAGCTCATCTATCTTTCTGCCCTGACTCAGATACCAAGTCGGTTCTCGGTAATGGCTGCACAGAAAGACCACAATGCTGTTTCACGTGGGCCAGTCCTGACTGCTCCCAGACACCAAGCATCCCTTAGGCAGAGACTGGGCATTTTACCCACATTTCCCTGTGGTCTGGGTCCCAGGCTCAGGGACCACCTGTTGCCTTTTGTTGCTTTTCCCCCAGGGAATCTGTGTCCACTTCTCTCTGCCTTTAGACTTGACAAGAACACCTGACCCCAGCCCCTCTCCTCCCCCAGGGCACACTGATTCCCTAAACCAACAGCTGCTGGGGGAGCAGCAAGGGGACACTGCCCAGCACAGGTCACCGAGGGAAACAAGAGTCCATGATCTTCTCCCAGGAACTCTGACGTCCTGCCCAAACTCCTCCCGTCCCAGACCCCAATCTAGAAACACAATCTCTAAGAAGGTCCAGTTCTTCAAAGATTCCCTTATCTTTCCAGTTCTAGGTGAAAATAAAGATCTCTTTTCATTCTCCGAAATCTCAAAAGAAACATCCAAATGTGCACTCTTTCCCACCTGGAGACTTACTGGATGCTTTAGAGGAGAGGGACGAAGACACCGAATCGTGGGAGCAGGACCTCTCCCTCTTCACCGGGCTCCTCTTCTCTGAAGTGGAGCCTGTTTCAAGACACACATGCTGAAAACGCCTCATAATCATCATCTCGTATGTTCGCCCAGCACTTCAGAGTTTGCAAAGTGTGTTCACACCTAGCATCCATCCATCCATGCATCCATCCATCCATGCACCCACCCATCCATGTATCCATCCAT